AATGTAGTTATTTGCACATGGACTCTGAATAGTTCACCTGCAAGGTGATTTTTATATGAAGTATAAAAATACTATTTATTATCTTACAGTTTTCACATTTCATTTGCATAATTTCTAGAACCTCCTAAATGAATAACAAAAGCTTTTAAGGTAAATGTTTATATTTTATTATTCATTTTCTCTACTATGTCACTAACTCTACATATTATGTTTGTTTATGATCCTGGTCAACGAGAAACCTATCCTTGGGGCAGCCATGTGCACTTTTTAAAAAAGTATGAAAAATAAACTGGGAGTGTGCTCAGTAGGTGTGGAATGGTCTAAAAAGCAAGAGCAACTTTCAAAATTTAACCATTTTTTCTGGTTGCAGAGAAATAGGTGAAAATGATCAGTTACCTCCTGACTTCCTAGAAAATCAAAGGAAAGATTTGTAATGCTTTGATTTTAGCAAATATCAGAGTTATTTTAGTTCCAATGATATTAATAATCAATTTCAATGCATAATTAGTGAGAATAAATGCATTTCTAGTTTTCTTCTTCAACCTCAATGTCCAATCTTGTAATGAAACACTCTTCATTGCACATTTCCATAAGAACGTCTTGCTCTGTCTCTTCCTTTTTTATTTGCTTTTGGATCTTTTGCACTACTCCATGCCTACTTTGTGGAATAACATGGAAATGTTTTGCTGTAAGATCATAATGTAAGCACATTTCACAGCTTTTACAACTTCCTTTATTTTTGTATTTATGTTCTTCACATGGCTCTGACCTTCTTGTAACTATGGTCATACTTGTGCTGCACAAAAATAGAAAACTGATTTTGAAACAGCTGAATTTTTTGCATAAAACAGTGTTATCCGGTTTTTATGCTATTTTTACACACAAAAATTGATTCTGAAATTTTAATTTTTTCCGGGGAAATATCTGTAATTTTGGGTGGGTTTCTGACTGATCAGGATCTTAAAATTAACAAATAGAAATAACTCTTCTTAGAAGTCTCTTGAAACCTGTTTTTTTAATATGCGTAATTTCATGTCTATTTATGACAACAAGTCAACTGGTGCCCATGGAGCTTTATTATTATTATTATTATTATACGATGACTCCTGTGCAGAGACTCAATTCACTAACACTTTAGACATGCAAATGACTTTCATAAACTTTCACAATCCAGACAGCAACAAGTTAAATGTATAAAAATCATTAAACCTTTCAAGTATGATTTTTTAAATGCAAATAATACATCTTAGTCTTAGTTCCTCCCGTTCCGTTGGGAACATTGGTCAGCGAGACCTCGCCATCTGCCTCTGTCATGAGCGGTCTCCACCGCTTGGTCAAATATTAGATCCACCAGTTCCAAGTCCTCTTTAAAAGTTCTTCGCCATGTCTTCTTTGGCCTTCCTCTCCCCCTTCTCAAATTTGGGGG